GACCACAATCCTCACAACAGGACCAATAGGAAACTACATGATAAATAGAGAAAAGGCAGAAATTGTCAAGTATTTTGTCTTGCATGGATCCACAATCAATGCTCATGGAAGCAGGTGGTAAGAGATCAAATGACAAGTTGCATTAGCTAAATCTGCCACACAAGACCACTTTAGAGTATTGAATAGTAAAGATGTCATTTTGAGGACTAAGGTGCGCATGACACAAGCCAGGGTGTTTCCCACTGTCTCATATCCACGTGAAAGTTGGACACGGAATAAGAAAGACCGAAGGAGAATCAGTGCGTTTGAATTGTGGAGAAGAATCTTGAAAGTACCGCAGACTGCTAAAGGACAACAACTCTGTCTTGGAAGAAGTACGGTTAGAGTGCTCCTTAGAGGCAAGGATGACAAGACTTTATCTTACATACTTTGGACCTGTTGCTAGGAGAGACTACTCCGTGGAGAAGGACATCATGCTTGGTTGGAAAGTGGAGGGGCAGCGAAAAAGAGGAAGGCCCTCCGGGAGATGGACCGGCACAGTGACTGCAACAACGGGTTCAGGCATGGAGACGATTGGGAGGATGGCACTGGACCCAGCGGTATCTCATTTGTTCTGGTGTGCACAGGGTTGCTATGGGTCGGAACCAACTCGATGGCACCTAACAATAACAAGAACAATCACAACCGTGGCATTTTGAATGGCCTCATATGTATATCAAAACTTCACAGTGAATAAGACAGACTGAAAGAGAATGTCTTTTGTCTTTGAATTATTGATCTGGCCAACTTGTTCACTTTGAGTGACCCTGCTAGCATTTGAAATACCTGTGACATAAGCTTTGAACGTCCCAGCAACACACAGGCCCCCACAGTATCATGACCAATGGAGAAAAGATTGAAGCTGTCAAGAATTTCATCTTACTTGAATCCACAATCAATGCTCGTGGAATTAGCAGTCAAGACAGTAAACAATTCAGCCCAGAGCATCTCAAGTCCATAGAGACTCACGTAGTTGACACTGAAAGGCGAAGCAAGAAGCAGGGAGATCGCAGGCTATGAGGGCAGAGTCACGTGGCTCCAAGGTCAGTGGAAAAATGGCGGGGCTCTACAGTTGTCAGGGTCCCTGGACTTCACAGTGCCAGTGAAGTCCCAGCCAGAAGGAAGGTGAAGTGGCAGAGCGAGTGTTTGTTCCCAGAGCCCTTCCCACCCATTTCAAAAAGCCACACCCTCACGAAGGTGTCATCAAGTGACAAGTTTGACTCCACCCTTAGCCAGGAGTGTCTAGTTGACATAAAATTAGACAACTACCACATTGGCAAAGCTACTAATGAGACCCGACTAAAAAGCATGGCCACTGAATGTTGAGCAAGATTCTTGGTTAGGGAAAAACACCAAGGCACAGCAGAATGACTCATGTCATCTCATTTGTGTTCTTTGTGTTAAAATAAATCTGTGATAGCAAGAATAGCATTCTCCTGAGTTCTGAGCCATTCTAACAAAAATTTGAACGTGAAGTGGTAATGGAAATTAAAAATAAATAAAGCTTTTTATTGTGAATTAGATGATGAAATTTTCAGATCATATTTTTAAACAACTTATCAAATTTCCCAATGACTTGTTCTGCCCTTCTCGCTCCCCTTCTCTCTCTGAAAGAATGTATGCTCCCCTTCACACAAGTGAACCAGCTTCTCAGATTATTTGCTCAGCATACCAATAGGATTAGGGTGGTGAAAGAATACAATCCCAACAGGCATATTTCTGATTTTGAAACTTGCAGTACTTCTTGGTTAATGTACAGGTGTCCCCATGAGCATAATTTGGTGTTCTGGAATTCCCAGTCCTTGCCACGTTATCCGCCGTGGAATGCCTTTGTGTTGTCAGTAAACACAGACACATTTCCTTCTGGTACTCTCTGCTTTCAGTCACAAGCCATCTGACATCAGCAATGATATTTTTATTTCCCTCTCCTCTTATGAATCCATCTTGCCCTTTCTGGCATTTCACTGTCTATGTCTTACCACAACGCTTTCAAAATTGTTTTTAGCAAAATCTCACTTGCATATTATATGAATGCAATTGTTGGGTCAGGATTTCTGCATCGGGTCACCATTCTTTGGAATGGATCCAATATGCAGCGGTTCCAGTCGGTCGACCATGTAGCTGCCTCCCAAATTTCTTGGCGTAGGCAATTGAGTACTTCCAGGACTGGCTCTCTGTGTTAAAATATTCCAGTTGCGAATCCTTCAACTGGGGGCTCCTCT